AAAATTATTATAGACAATGGAAGCCGTAACTGAGCCGCGTGATATTCCTTTCGCGAAGGAGGCATCGAAACTTGTTAATAAACCATCAAAAATTCATATCAACCTTTCCAAGACTTCATCTAATGAAAAACGATCTGTTGGTTTCATTATTCCTGAAAAACTTAATAATAATTCTCAAAATGTTTCGACTGCGGTAGGAGTTGACGATGATTCTACCGATTCTACTGTTGTTTCCACCCCTATTGATGAATTTTTCTTGGATTCACCCGGTGCTTCCTCAATTGACATTTCGGTTCGAGATTTAACTTCTGATATTTTGGTTGCTCTCGTGGATCGTGACGTAGAAATTAAAGATCTTTTCGTCCGTAATCAAGATTATTTTGATTTTGTCAAACAAACTGCCTTCTCTTCCGATGTTCGCTGGCAAGAATTTCTTAATGTTTTATTCTCACCACGTGAAAAAATTCCCGATTTTGATTGGATGAACACAATCTCTAAGTTATTAAGTCCTCCACTTTTGGTTCAATTCAAAGTAATTGTCGGTTATTACGACGATGAAGATGAAAATGATAACGTCGATGAAAATGATTTCGATGATGATTCTTCATCTTACACTTATGGAATTGATAGTCCGATTGGTGATATGGATATCGCTTCTATACGTGACTATCCAAAATCTTTGGAATATCTTGAAAAATCTTATCCTCAATTTTTTGCCAATGCCCGTCAAGTCTTGAGTCTAGAAAGTCACCGTAAAGGTAGCATTTTAGGTGGAAATCATTTGACTGATGATATACCTCTTCAGTCTGAAAATGATGCCATAGTTAACGGCAATAATTCTGTAACAACTCTCTACGATGAATTTAAAAGAATTTTACTTTGTCCAAGATCTGAAATGAACGATGTTAATTGGGACATCTCTATTTATGAACTTTTGGACCCTTGGCCACAGCTTGTTGCCCAGTTTGAAGAAATTATTGCTCATGAAATTAATGAGTGATAAAACTTTTTGTATATTTTTTCTATTT